AAATGGATTAGAAAACCCCAGATGGTTGAAAACAGCCTTATTTTAGTTCACATCCAAAGGGGAAAGCAGAGGCAAAGCAAGTATTGTCACCTCAGATATTCCTTTAGCTGTTATTTGTCTTCATGATCGAGTTGTTTTATGAAACAGAAACAGCAATAAGGAACTGACCGGAAAAATGTGAATGCTCTAGCCAATTACAGGCCAGAAATGACACTTGTACAATGCTGCCTGAACAGCCAGGCTGCACACAAACCTCCGCCAAAGCAGCCTCCTGGAGTTGGTTTCGCCACTTCTTCCACTCCGCCCATGAGATGGCACCATTGCCCTCATTTCCATGACTTCTGCTAGTAAGCACCCCTGGGTTTAGTGCAGGACCCAAGAAATCCATGATGTCAGTTTCACAGAAAAGCAGAAATGGGATGCCTTTTTGGAAGCATCCATGCATCTGCGGTGATTTGTCATTGAACATTAGTTTAGCCATGGTTTTTTAAAGTTAAAGATAATGAGTTTTAAAATAAACAGTCATTAATGTAACAGTTCAGCAGTATCAGTCATGGTTGTTTCCTCTGAAAGAGAGGCCGAAAACCCACAGCGAAGAGGTGACCACATGGTCATGACATTGTGATTGACCTTGGTAGAAAGTAAATTCCAGGCCTTCTGATGTGTTTCCTTGATGCATCTATTCCAAACCTTTGACCCATGAGAGATTCTTTGTATAAGGACGAAACAATGTGAGGAGAGGTTCTGTTGAAGTACCAACACCATATAAATGCACAAACATGCACATTCAAAACACAACCATCTGGAATGTTCTGAATATCAGTATTCATTGTATTCAGTATTCATTGAGCATTGTGGAATTTCTGACCTAGAAAGCACAGTGTTTTCTAACAGTGCCATTTTCTACTCAGAAGTAAGCCTCACCAAGTTCAACGGAGCTTATTCTTAGGCAAGTGTGCTTTGAAATGGCCAAAACACATCATGCAACTGTACCTCCTTTGACCATTAAAGGATTTTCTGCAGTAAGAAATAAGACACAAGCAACAGTCGGAAAACATGGCAGCCAGCAACTCCTTATGAACTGCACAGCACAGTATTTTTCCCTTCCCTATACAGCCATTTGAGAATAGAGCAACAAAGAAACATATGTGCACGTGGGGTATGTTTTACAGTGAATACGGAGATGGGTCACACCCAAGACAAAGACATACATTCACCCTTTTTCTCCCATCAGTGAGGAAAAAAGGAATAAAGTAGGACTTCCAGATCTGGTCTGTGATGAAAATGCTGTACACAGTGATTTGAATTTCTTTGGCTATTTTTCCTCTGAAGAGTTTCATAATAAGGTTTGGGCTAGAGATAATTCTGCAGACAGAAAGTCACAGAGAGAGAGAGAGAGGGAGAGAGAGAGAGAATTGCATATTAGGACCCAGGATAACTGGGCAACGCCTCCTCCTTTGGCATGATTAATCAGAGATCAGGACTGGTCCCAGCCAAGGCAAGACAATCCATACAATTCTCTTTTCTCACAAAACCAAAGCTGCTCAGTGAAGTGTTCAGGTACTTGGTTACATTCAACACAAGCTAATTCACTTATCCTCAACAAGTGGGCTATTGATTTTTTGCCTGTTTTCTGAGCAGCCTGGGGGCTCTCAGAGCTACAACAATAGCATCCTGCCTTTTATAAAAAGGGGAAAGGAATGCAGTGGAAAAATGTCCCTTTGCTCATCAGTAATTAGGATGACTTCATGTTTGCTTAGTTCTGTCAGTATATTCAGCACAGACACGGTTCATGGAACTTCACAACCCCATTTCACCTTCCCTGAAGAACTTGACACTGGAAATTCAACTCCTCTCCTTTGTACATTGAAAATATAGATTCCTTCACTCACCATCACCACCAACCTGGCGCCGTACGGAAAGGCAAACTTTTTTCCAAGGCATTTGCTGCCTCTGGTATATCCCCTTCACTAAATATTAGTGCAATCAAACCTTTGCAAACAGTTAGGTCACAGAATAATGCCATTCATGCACTTTACAAAATGACACAATATTCTACTTAAAAGCTATGGGGAATCCAGTATAACCTGAAACAGACAAGAAACAGAAAGTAAGAAGCCAGCTAATTTAAGAGTCAACATGGTGCAGTGGCTAGGACTGCGGAGAGTCTGGTCCAAATTGCCAATCTCATGTGGGAACCTCAGTGGGAGGCACTGTGGGCCAGTCAGGAATATAAGAGGTGGAGAGAACCTATGTACCCTCTTCTGAGCCTCCGTGGGAGAAGGGACGGATTAAAAAGTACTGTGAACGTAGTAAGCAAATAACCCCTTTTTCTGCCAGCACTGCTATTTATTCAGGATCTTTTCACTAACTGGCATTTTAACATTGAGAGATCTTGGATGTATTTCTTGGGTCAATCTTCTCCAACAACGTGCGTGGTAGGACTAATAAAAGTAAGATTATTTGGAACTTCTTTCAAACCAGCGTTCCTCTAGTTTTTGTTCACTGCCTCTAAAACTACATGCTGGGTTACTGTGTTTTCCCTGAATAAGGCAACTCTGCTGTTAGTCACACCAGACGATCCAAAACGCTGCATGGTGTCCCTCTTGATTGCGGCAACCTTGGTGCCTCCAAAACTTTTGTGGCAGCTGCCAGGTGTTAAACCCTGTGCAAGCTTTTAGGACAGGCATGTAAACCATCAGCAACCTAAGCACAAATTTATATATGCCTCTCTCTCTATGTTTGTGTGTGTGTGTGCAAATAAAAAGAATTATTAGGATTTACTTAGATTTTCAGAAAGAAAGCCAGCCAATTACTTTTTCATCCAAGTCACTTAAACTAGAATAAATATTTAATTTGCACCCAACAGCAGGTCAGTCAGTAGTTCTTCAGTTACAATTAGGTTGCTATCTTTTCCTGCCCAGCCCTTCTCCCTCCTAACTAGGTCTCTCCCTCCTTTTCCTGTGGAGAGGTTGCCTGTGCACTATACAATTAAGTGCAAAATAAAATCTTCCAGTTGGCATCAATCAACACAGGAGTCCTGAGAATAGATCCATGGCTGGAGCCCTACTATTTCGATTAATTTCATTTCTATACCACCCCACAGCCAAAACTTTCTGGGCAACAATCCATAAAAACAGACAATAAAAATGCAATACAAGCATCATAAAATCAGAAAAAATAGACATTTAAATCTAAAAAGATACAATAGCAAAGAATGACTCTGCAAAACACCTGGAATGGCTAATCTCTCTCAAGACTTTTGATGACCAAGTAAGTCTTTAAAGGCCTCAGAGAAGAGAGCCCTCTTAACCTGATGCCAAGAAAGTGGCACATTGGGCCCCAGCCAGGCTGCAGTGGAGATGTTGTTCTACAGATGGGGGGCCACCACAGAGAAAGCCCACTGCCTAATTGCCACTGTATGATCATAGGATCAGTTGGAAGGGGCCTAAAAGGCCGCTGGATCCAATCCCCTGCTCAGTGCAGAACCCAGGTCTCCATCCAGATTCTAACCAGGATTGACCCTACGCAGCTTCCAAGATTAGGCAGGGTCATGCACTACAGGATGTATGAAAGCTATAAAAACCTCAGAGGTTAGGTGTAGTGTCCAAGTAGATGGTGGTTGGGAGAGGCTTTCCAGCAGGTATTGTAGTCCTAAGCCATGTAAGACTTCATAGGTTGAATCCAGTATCTTGAATTAGGACTGCAAGCATATCGGCAGCCAATGCAAGCTGGCCAGATCTGGTCTTACGCATTCAGACATGCAGACCCAGTCCTAGTCATGCCCCTTTCACATTGGTACTGCAGGCTGTAGAACTGCAGGACAGAAATAGCTTTTCCATGGCATGGCTGTGTGAAGGATGAAGGGCTGCTTCCAGCAGTGCACTTACTATGGAGTACAAGTGTAATGTAAGCTACAGACACGATGCTAAGCTGGGCTGCAAGTCTGCTCGCTGCAACTTAGTGAAGCTGGGATCCAGTTCTTATCATTGGCTACTTGCTACAGTTCATAGGCATACTTAATGGCAAATCATGAGCTGCTTTTAAAACCAGTGGGTGTTTGGGAAATGCCGCTTGCCACATGGGAGAGGCTGGCCAGAAGAGCTGCCTGTGGCTCACTAGCATCCTCCATCCTTGTGCAAGAGGGGTCACTGCCCATGGCGCCATTTCCCTCCCAAGGCCCTGGGAATGCACCCTCTGCAGACAGATCGCCTGGAGTCCTAACTATTGCCGTTAATACAGGCCCCTTGTTAAATATGTCCAAATTTACGTGATTTGTGGGCCCAACTGTCATAGAAAAACTGACCCACCACCATGATGCATTAGGGTACAAGACTGAGCAGTTACTGAGCATTTTTTAAAGCTACGGAGCTTTGCTCCATTAAAAGTATACTGTCCATTTTACACTGGCCTTTCAGTATTCTAATAAGAAAATGTGTACTGTTTCTAAGGCAGAAACTGGTCGTTTCTTTCAGCGAAATATGATGTTTGAAAATCAGTTCCTCCTATTATAGATTTCTCCCTCAGCTTGTAGAAAATCCATGATTCCCTAAACATTGGTCTTTGAAAGCACATTGACTAAAATCTTCATGCCTAATTCATGAAGTGTAGTCTGGAGATTAGTGGAGCTGGACATAGACCAGGAATACTTTATCATATTCTAATAAGCAGAGGCTGAAAATTGCATTTCTAAAGCTACAGTATTAAAGGGCACCCAGCAAAACATGACCTAAACATAACTCAGTAGTCCTACACTCCTCTGGAAAAGCTTTGATATTATAAAGTGTACTGACAGAAAGAATAAACACAACCCAAAAGAATTTCTGCATTTAAAAAGAGGAAGAAAAACCCTGGCAAATACACACCACGTATACATCAAAGCCCGTATTGTATGTTATTAAACTCATATAATGTGATCTCCACAGAACAGTGCTTGGACTTGTATTGATTATTTGAACACAAGTGGGGAACATCATCTCAATAACATAAAATTAGGCATCTGAAGCAAATGTGACAGTAAAAGAGGCCAGTAAAATATGTTGACAAGGCTAACACAACTGCTACCATAAAAGAGCTAAGTGACACAATGTTCTGTACTAGAGAAGGGCAGTGTGAATAATTTTTAGTTGTTTATTTATTTGCTCTTAGAACTTAGGTTACTTTTTCACAAACATTTCTTTCTTCAGCCATTCCTTCTTTCTTCCCAGTATCTTTTCTACTCCTGGGGAAACATTAGCTCCCATCACATTCCATTCCGTCTACAAAACTTTTCAAGATGGCTCCATTGCAATTCAACCTTTTCATCTTGCCCATATTTTATCACCACTTGTTTTGCATTCCTGCTTGCAGCTATCCAAATCCCTTCGCAATTATGGGAGTGAAGTGTATGTGAAGTAGTTAAGAACGGAAGCTGCTAGCCAGGAACACCCATTTGGTGTCCTTAAGCAAGTCACTAGCCTAGTTCACAAAACATAGTAATGCACTGTTGAATCATATGCTGATGTTGAATTGTGGGTTGCTTCGTGATCCCAACCCCTCTAACATAGTTTGTTAACCATACGCAAACCAGAATTACAATCCTACAGCAAACCATGGGTTGTGAATCATTAGTACCCAAATGCTTTTCTCCTGCCTTTTGCCACATGGGGACAAGGCTACTTGCAGGGTTGGTGTGAGGGTGGTAGAAATGCGTGCTTGTTCGTAGCACGCAAAATGTGCTACGAACAAGCACAACTATTATATGGCAGGTGAACCTACTTATTGTCTGTATGTTCTGTACTTCAGAAGATGCTATGGCTCAGTTCACACATGCGCACACATTTCTTGATACTATACAAAGATAACTAGCTGGCTGACCACACTGAAACAGCACGTGTAGTGCTATCAGCAGACTATTGCAGTATATCCATGATGGCTTGTAATTCACACAGGCAAGTTATCACTAGATGTTGCAGCCCTCAGCTGATGAGATGTAGGTATGAAGCATCTCCATGCCTCTAAAGTGGACTGCTTTGGAGTGCTTGGGTCTAGTCTTTAAGCACTACATAGGAATCTGCCTTATACCAAATCAAACCACTGGTTCATCTAGCTCAGGAGAAGGCCACTTGTGGGCCTTCAGATATTCTGGCTTAAAACTGTATCGTTCCTTAGCACTGGTTATAGAGGACTAACGGGGGTTGTAAGCTGAAAGATCTGGAGGGCTACAAGTTTCCCACCCTGATCTAGTTCAGTATTATCAGCATGGACCACCAGTGGTCCTCCAGATTGGAAGCTTTCCCAGACCTGTCTGTGATGTTGGAGATGGAACCTGGGACCGATTCCATGCAAAGCACCCATTTTACCACTAAGCTACAGCCCTTTGTTTTCATAAATGAGCCCTTCTTCCAGGGACATAAGTTAACATATAAAAGCATATTTTAGGGTTCTGTTTGTGAACTATCAGTAAAAGATCAATACAGATGTATATCCAGTAAGGGCAAATCAACAGAAACAGATCCCTTGCTATCCTACCATAGCCTAACCAGCCACGCATCATGAAATTATTTAAAGACTGCCACTGTGTGAAACAGGATGCTAGATTGCAACTTGGGTCTTAGGCATGAGACCTTTGGTCCTAAGTAACAGAGCCACTCTTATATGGCTATTTGTTGTTGGAGCGGGATCCTAAAGTGTACCTATCTTATCTATCAGCTTATTTCTAGATCCACTTTGCCATGCTCTTTGGAAACTGGAGTTGCCCTTTCTCAATCCCTTGCAGAATCTTTTTCGCTTTGCTTTGGTTTCATTTTGTTTCATTTCCAACAATCACAAAAGTGCACTTGCTCATGGCAGATATGCAGAGAAGCAGGTATGCAGACAACCCGGTGAAACTCGGAGGCAATGGATTACCTGTTCAACCTGTGAAGGACTGCAGGAGAGGAGTTCAGTACGCCTGGTACCAAGCCCATTTTTCATCTTTGGCCTTGCATCAGGCTTAGCATAGAAGCAGGTGCCTTGGAGCCTGAGGCTTTGCAGTGCTGCTTCCCCTGTGCACTTCAACAGCAGGAAGACGGGGAACATGGGCAGGCACCACTAAGACCAAGCCAGGTGTCCGGAAGCCGAGGAGGACTGTCTTGCAAGATCTCGGATGGAATGAAGGCCATCAGTCAGGGTGAGTGACAGTCTCAGGCACACAAACAAGGCAGAAAGGATGCTCAATACAATTACAATTAAGTGCATGCAGTGTCAGTGTGCCTGTGAGCTCACAACCACGGGAATCAATAACAGTCAGGGCATTTCCTTCACTTTTCTGGCATTTTATTTTTTCTCTAGTCTTTTGGAGCTCATGTCATAACCTTTATCAAAAAGGAAGGCCCAAGTTGCAACAGTCTGCAGCAGGGACCAACAGGAACTCTGCTTACAGATGCCGATTGCCTGCTTTTGATTGTATTTGTAGAAGGGATGAAGCCAACTGGTCTGCAAACAGGAAATATCTGTTTGATTCCCACATGTCTTTTACTCTACTGACCTTGGGAAAGTGTCTGGATGATATCCATTTATTTATTTACAGCATTTCTAGCCCATCCTTAACAGTGTCTCAGGATGGCTTGCAACAAATGCCATGCCTTTAAGACCCCGAAAGAAGATGCTTCCTTGGTTGGAGGGGAAAAAAAAATATCAATAGAAGACTTGTGGAGGGAAAAAGAATCTTGAGTAAGTATCACCCAAATTAGTTGTTGTTTTGAAACTACATTTTTATCTTGTCTACATTCAACAAACTCAGGATGATGTACACAATTCTCTCATCTTTTATTTCGATCCTCGCAATAACTAGCTGGGGCTGACAGCTTCTCTTCATAAGGCATGCCTTGTGATTCTTCACCAAAGGTAGGCTGAAGGTGCTTCACATGGCATCAACACTCTGCAGGGCATCTCCTGTGCTTTGCAACCATTTCCATGCCATTTCTAGATTGAGGGAAGGGTGGCATGACCTGGAAATTCAGCTAGGATAATTTTTTGCAATTTCACTATATCACAGCACCTCATTCACATGAGTTAGAACAACCCCCTGACCTACAGTCAATCCTTATTTCTTTCTTTTGGTTATGTGCTCTGTTCATTGTACTCCACCACTCAAGTTGCTGTGTTGCACAAGCAAGATGGCAATAGTGCAAATCCCAGTGAAATCCCAGTCTGTTTGACATGGGGAGAAAAACATGATTCCTCTTTCTGGCATCTTTGTAGTATAGGAAGACTTGGAGATTAGAAAAGTACAGATGCTGATTAGTTGAAGGATCTTCTTTCCAGATAACTACAAACCTGGCATCCTCATCCATCAAAGGCTGCTGGGCAAGGCACACCTCAGGGTGACTACACAAGGGAATGAAAGCTTAACAGCCAGGCAGTGGGTAAGGTGAAGTGCAGCAATCGAATGTGAATGGAAGAGGGTGCGAAGGGCGTGAGGGGGGCAGTAGAAGTAGCAGAGAGGAGGAGGAGGAATTGGCATGGTGGCGGTGGATCAGATCGAAGGGCATTCTAATCCAGGCAGCTGCTTCCTACAGCAGGCAGACTAACGTTTCAAAACAGCCCACGGACAAGGTGCCCCATTACTGTCTCCTTGCTGTACCTGGTTTTCAGCAGTATATTGCACTGGAAACTGCTGCTGCCATGGGTAACAGCAACTGATAGACCCGTCCTCTGTGCATTTGTCTGCTCTTCTTTTAAAAGCTGGTTATCACCATCAAAGTTCATACAAAGCTGTATGTATTTCGACAGAAGCTATTCTTGTCTGTCCTGAATAAACTCCAAATCAATTTCAGCAGGTGACCCTAAGTTCTAGAGGATGCTGAGTGTGATCGCTGCCTCCAACACCCTTTTTCCAGATCATTCCTATTTGCAAAAGTAACGCACAACAGCGTGAGGTGGGCTGGGAAAGGAAGGCAAACCAGATGGGGCTGTAACAAAAGCAGCGCAGGCTGCTTGGAGTATGGAAGGCTGATACACAGGACCACTCCAAATATGAATGGAATCTCAAAGCAGAGGTTAAAACTGAGTGGCAAAGAGCCCGGCAGTCCATCATGCTACTCTATCTAACACGAGCCACACTGATAACTCTCCTGTGTCCTAAGCCAATATACAGCCTATTCCACTTCAGATTTAAATTGCAAGTTTCACTGCAATTTAATAGAGTATTAAAGTATATATCCAGGTATGAATGGAGCCTCCAATCAGTTCTGAAGTAAATGTAACATTCACTGATGGATTTGGTGAAAGTTGCTCCTCCCTGATTTACAGGATCACCAATAGATCACAAATCTCCTAATTCTGCAATGATTATACTTCAGCAGCTGTTGAACCAATTGCAGGAGCTACCACTGTGCCTGGAACTTACCCTGCTTTGTATCAATGCATCAATATCTCTGCATGTTCACTATAAATTATCTGGGAGTTTTGATGTTCAACAATGTCAAAAGAACGTTTGTGTGGAGAAGGCACCCAAATGCTTTGGTATCTGAAGATGAGATGCCAGCTAGCTTTACTTCAGATAATATGTTTCACGCGAGGATTCAATTACAGCTATCCCAGGCTCTGCAGAAGGCATATTTAAAGTCTGCTTTGCCCTTGACTTTTGATTCTGCATGTCAAAAGCATTTAACTCAAACTCCCTTGGATTACCAATACTGCATTAAGTTCATTGACTTCTGTACCAGATTATTCAGTAGCAGAGGCACTAACTTCACACATAGATATATTGATGCTGTATCACAACACCAGGGATGTATTTAAAAGTCCCAATGTTCCTCATTCCCACAGAAGTACTGAGAAAGGCTAAACCATTCACGGAAGAAGTGGCAAGAAAAGAGAGCTTGAAGAAAATGAAACCCCCCAGTTGATCACTTGAGTTTTGTGAAAGCAAAGAGCTGTCCATAGTAATCTACAGCTCCCCTTGGTGGGTCAGACGCTGAACTGCATTCAAATGGTCAGAAATTAAGAGAGCCTTCGTTATTAGACGTTCTGGTAGCTGGAATGCAAGAAAAAACATTCTGTGTCATATGGTGACCTGGACTCTGACATCACAGCTTAGCAAATCGTAAATAGTTCATTCATACTTTTTATAAAGAAAAGGAACAGCACTCCTCCACCATGAAATGAAATGAGTTTTGAAGAGATATTTGTCTCCCAGACATTGAAACAAAAAGTTGGAGGATATACCTCTAGAACTTAGGGACTTTTTGGTTTGCCTACTATTCATTCCATATGAACAGAGGTACAAATAAGCCAGTAAAGCATATATTGCAGAGCCATCAGATATGTCCCTGGTTCAAACCAGGGCTCAGCAAACAGCTGCTATCTCTCAGTCCCAGTATGCATCATTCGATCATTATGCAGCATGTGGATCTTCTCAACAGATACACTGATAAATCACTGGCCTACTTTACAGGGCTGTTGTAAGGGTTACCACCTGAAAGTGCTTTGGCACAATGGCACTCTTGAAACTTAGTGGCCAAACCCAAAGCTGACATGCTCTTTCCTACCCAATACGTGGTCTGAGTGTATCCTTCACTTCTGAGTAGAAAATTTATTTCAAGCTATGGTTGGCAGCTCTGCTCCTTCTGAAGACCCAACCAGCTCACTAATGCACTATTTAAATGCAGAGTATTATGCACAAAAGCCTGTGTGTTTAATGACGGGCTGCATCGGAATTGGCCATGAAGCTCACCGGGTGACTTTGTGCCAGTCACTGACTCTCAGGCTAACTCACTTTACAGGGTTGTGGTCGTTGCTGTGAGTATAGTGTGGAGGAAAAGGATTATGTAGGGGTTATTTGAAAAAAAGTAAAATTAAATGATTACAAATAATAAAAGCAGTCCTGAGTTAGATCCAAGTTATAGGTCTGGTTTTGTTTCCCTCTTATTTCACATTGATGTTCTCTTTTCTTTTCTTTTCTTTTTGGCCACATTTTGACTTCCTGAGACCACTTTGCATAGCCTGCTCTAATCAATAGCATAGACACATAATGTACTCCTGTAGATTTTATGCTTTTCTAGAACATAAACACTAAAAGTTTTTGTGATGAACCTGTGCAGAGTCCAACCATTAACAAAGCAACATCAGTTGGCCTTGGAACCACAAGGACTCTGTGGAAAATTATGCCTGGTCTGTAAATGAAATATTTAAAACAATTTTTGATGCTGAAAGGTATACCTGACACATTTGTCGATTTTCATGGGAGTCTGGGCTGATTAGATTTTGAGGGTCAGTCAGTGTAAGGTCATTTAAAGCCCACATATTTTAAATTTCAAATCAACTATGACAAACCTGATAAACTATAAAATAAAATAAAAATACATAAAATCAACTTATGCTATAGTTTGAAAGCAAAACCTCTGTATTAATTTTTATCGTCAGCAGATAACATGTGGCTGTTACGAGAGATAATTTTTCTGACAAATAACCTTGATAAGCAAGAGGCAAGGTGCATAGACATCTTACCAATATTACAAATTTCTTTATACCAGGTTCCAAAAAATTCCGTATTCACACACTCTCTCTTCTACTGAATACATTCTAAAAGGTTAATACTAAACAAATAAAATAGAAAACATCAATTATTAGTATTACCTTGCAAGACAGAAGCAAACAAGATCAAAGCTACCAATCAAATAAAGAGTTAACATATAAAAATATATAATAGCATGAAGATGTTTTAGAACTTCAATTAAAGTATTGCAAGTTGCTGACTTTTTTGACTCGGGAATCCCGATTTAACATCCTTTCTTCATATTTAGTCCCATGAAAAAGTGCAGCCATGTGCATTCTGAATTCAGCCAGTTTTCTGAGCTGCACAAAGTCCTGGCTAAAAGCCAAATGAATCCGGCAGGCCATGTGAATAACCTTTCTTATTGGATGACCTGAAATATCACCTAAATAAACTAATAAAAGCCTGCATTGGACTGTGGGCACCTCCGTAGTACCACAGGTGGGAGCAGGTGGTGATGAAGGTCACGCTTTCCCTGATGCCTCAAACGCACCACAGCACCCCTTTGTAGTTTATGTTCCTCCCACCCTGACTGGGAGAAGCTCTGCCAACACGAGCAGCAAGCACTGCAAAGGGGGTGCTTGTCTCAGTGGGAAGCTTCATCCCGATGGAAGGACTTGTGCAGCAGGAAAGCTTCAGGCTCTCCTGCGCTTCCTATGATGTCACCAGAAAAGCTGGTGCGGCCTGGCATGGCTGCACAGGTAGGATTGCCAAGGAAAAGACGGTGTGCCGGTCTTCAGTCTCCCCACCCCGTTCACGGGATTCTGTGTGAAAAGAAACCAGATAGAAGAACTGGAGCCAAAACTATAAAGACAATGCCTTTTTTACCTCCTGGTAAACTTCCATCATGAAGCAGGGACAATTCCACGAAAGAAACCCACCTGGACCCCACTCCCCACTAACTCTCAGGTTCCTTTCAGTCGAAAATTGGAAGGTTTCAGGAATCTGGCCTATATTCTCTTAATCACCTTTCCATGGATCCATTGTGAATGAGTCCAGGCCCATGCTATATGTCTGCCCCGACTCCAGCAATAAGTCGGTAAACGCCAGTGCGATGCATGCTCTGTCCCACCGCGGCCGCACATCCTCTCATGCATTGAAATTAAAGAACCGCCCAGAGATGGAGCTGTCCAGCATGCGAGGAGGATGGCACGCGCGGTCTTAACATACTTCAAGATTACTTTCCAATATGTTGCATATTGAAGCTTCTTTTTAAAAATTCATTGAGCAGTACCTTTCTAGGAAACTGTAAAAAGAAAACTGTCAGACAACATTCTCAGACCAATATTACATTGTGCTTCAATACAGGATTTCCATATATTCTGGATTTTTTAAGTCTCATAAATAAATAATAACCCATTGCAGGCACTAGGAAAAAAACCCCCAGAAAATAATTCTGTGTTAGCATTTTAATCTTTCTGTTTAATATTAGTGCATGGTATAAACAGAAAAGTAAAAAAGCAAAAAGGGAAAGGGGAGATGCCGCTTTATGAAGATTGATTTTTAACATGTTTTAACCTCCCAGAAACATTGTCACTAGGATTCATAATTTGACAATGGGGAAATATTACATATTGGTCACTGAAGCATATTGATATTCTATGGCTTTGATCGTATTAGTTCATGGAGAAATACAGAACAAAATAGCATTCAAATATTTAAGGGCTGAAAACCCAAAACCAAAGCACCAAGGACATTGTCAAAGTGCTCCTTAAGAATCACTGGATTCAAACAATAAATCCTGCTACTTCCTTTCCATCTGTTTTTTGAAGGTTTTTACTTTTCATTATTTTATTTTATCTTGCGAGTCACCTTATGGAAAAGTAGTCTAACCATAATGTTGGAGTGCAATTCCCTGCATGTTTTCTGGCAAGGGAATTCCGGGAGTTATGCGGCTTATTTCAGTTTAAACATGCACAGGACCTAACAAATAAACCCCTTAATAATCAAACTTCTGCTAACAAAGTAAACAGATGCTGTACATGAGCAGCACTATTCACATAAACCAAACAAGTGTGGTTGTGTTGCCGTCTTTTTAGCACAAACTGTTGATCTTTTGTCTTTGCTTCTCTTTCCCCCCGACTTTTAAAAATAGTTTAGTGATTATCAGACCTTTTGGAGTTTTGTTTTAACTGTGAGCTATGTTATAGTCATGATATTCTTTGCTGTTAGTTTCATTCTGCATTGGATTTTATGGTTTTATGCTTACTTGATTTTTTAAAAAGTTGATTGTTCATTTTTATTGTAGACTCTTATTATTAGCTACCTTGAGTTCCATGGGAGAAAACAGGTGAAATATAAATGCAATAATGAATTCAATTGGTGGCATATCCATATTGCAAATAAATGCAGATGTTCCCCTTGAATTGTTTCTGTGATTAGACTTGCTGCTGTTATCAGATGCACACCTTAAGTGCATTATTAGATGCAGCAGATGAAGTCATTTGCAGAATCAATCCCTCCCACCCACCCCACTTCTGAGTACCCAAATTAAAGCGATATCAGAGAGGGCAGTTGTCAATATCTTACTTTAAACTTTTCTAAAAACTAACAAAATATTACACAATCCCTATGCAAGCTTACCCAATCCCTGTACAAGTTTATTCAGGAGCAAGCTCACACAGCATTTCCTCCCAGTGAGTGTGCACAGAGCTGGGCCTAAATGCCATCACGGGCCATTTGAGCATGAGCACAGTGGATGGATATCTTATCCCCTGAAAACAGAGCATCACAGTCTTGCCAGCATGCAGAGAATTCAGTAACCCTGCAAAGCTGACTGATTTACTTGACAAGGATTCAGATCAAACAGATCAGAAAGACCAGCAGATACTCAAAGCAGAACCAGCTTCTGATTAGTCAAACCTGCATTTTATTGAGTTCATCACTGTAGTTACTCAATGGGTTTATGACAATTGCCTAAAATGAAATACACATTCCAAGGATTATACTAGGAATGAAAGGACGCTTATGAAGTTGGTCAGCTGAACACTGCTTTTCACATTAAAAGGCGCTAGGGAATTACTCCTCCTCCCCCCATGGGAAAAGAGACCTTGTATATGTGACTGTCACTCAGTGGTCCCATAAAGTGGAGAGCTTTCCAGGGAATTGCAGCTTGCTGCTCTACCATTGATTCCACCATCACATTTGAGAAGACACTGAGGGTTGCAGAACTGCAACTTGAGAAACAGACTTCCTTCAAGTCAAAATTATGTTATTATAAGTCATAAATATGGAAGTGGGCATATGGAATAATTAGCTTGATCACCAAAGCCTTCCTCTAATAAAATTATTCAGATAAGTAATATCTTGATAGTGACTTTGCTAACAACCTAGTGTTTCAGCCAAATGTTCAGAGCACAAAGATTTGTGTTTGTTTTAGTTTTCTACAGTAAGAAAAAACTGTAGCTTTTAAGAAGCATATGGGGCGATTTTTAAATAGGAAAGCACATTAATGAAATATTATAGATATTGCAGAAAGCACT